ACAAATTAGTTTGTGCAGCCATAAACTCAAACATGCCATCTGTCATAAACAGGTTAAAATAATTTTCAGAATTTTGGTTATCAGAAATTATTTTAATCTGTTGTGCCAGGGATGCCGCAAATATGGGTATTTTAGGGTCACTTAAATTTGGTGGTACCCAGTATGATCAGACACAGTGCAGCGGTTTGAGTGCCTTCTGATAGATGGTGTTACAGTCACCAGCAGGCTCGCTTAGGGGCTCTACAACTGATGCAGTAAGTGTCTCACTGTCAGATGTGTCAAAGGAGTCACTCTCTAACTCATTAGTCAACATGGCATAAGCCTCCTCCGATGTGCAGTAATGTGCCATGGTGACCTTTTTATTTTCATTATTTTTTTCCATACCTGCCTAACACACAGTCACTTAAACCACCCCCAATTCCTAATTCCACCCACAGAGCCCTACACCAAAAAAAAAAAAAAAAAGACGTAATGACTGATTGCAGTATAAGACGCTGTGTTCGGCACTAAAAGAGTTATTATATTTTTAATAAACTGAAGTGGGGTAAAAATAAAGTTTGGTTAGATAAAATGCTCTGATATACTATATATTGATCAGAACACAGGAAGGAGTTAACAGAAACTATAAAGGGTTAAATTAGGAGAAAACGTTCAGATTTAAACAAAAAAAGTACAATGATATTATTGTCTCTCTCACCTCAGATCAATGTGCGGGAAGAGAGACAGAATACAATGTAACATCCCATGATACATATCTTTGGCTATAACAGCCTGCCACCGCAATTATGTGACTTTGATCGCAACTGATTGGCTGCTGGGGGACTCCCTAGGTTGGTTGCAGGTGGACTGCCAGGGTCCAATACCAGAACCAGCAAAAAGTGAATGCTGGTTGGGGGGCTGCGGGAGCACAGACATTATGACGTGTTATGTCTCCTTAACGTCGTTAAAGCCAATGCCATTCAGGACGTTATGCCAATCGTGGGAATGGGCTAAAGATAGTATAGCATTTTTTAGCAGAACTTCTCAACTAAAACAAGTCAGCAGATTTGGTTCCCCACAGATTTCTACAACATACAGGACTTATACTCCAGTTTAGGAAAAGGCTGAGCCACATCACTTCCAAAACAACAACAAGGGAAGCAGGGGCGTACCTAGAGCATTTGGCACCCGGGGCAGATCCTGTGCTTGGCACCGCAAAAATTTGTAAAAATGTTAAAGGTTTTCTTTCTTTTTTTTTTACAATTTGTAAACTTTGCAAAACCGCTGTCAGCCCCTCCTACAAAACCCTTGTCCTGCCCGCCCCTCCTACAAAACCTCTGTCCTGCCCCTTCGACAAATCCTGTACTGCCCCGTCTACAAAACCCCCGCAACCCCCTTCCACAAATCCCCTGCTTATTCCCCCTTATAAAGACTCCTGTCCCAATACAAACCCCCGCCCCCTTCTACAAAATCCCTGCAGCCCCACACACACATTTACAGGCAGACAGTCACACACTCAGTTACAGACAGACAGTCACACACTCAGTTACAGGCAGACAGTCACACACAGTCACAGGCAGACAGTCACACATACACATTTCCTCTGTGCGGCCAGTTTATCAGCTGTTTGCTTGTGTGAGCTGTACGGCACCCTAACTACCATGGGACACTGTGCGGCCACAGCTCACACAGCCCCCTCCAGCCAGGGCCGGTGCAAGGATTTTTGCCGCCCTAGGCAAAAGTAAAGTTTGCCGCCCCCCCCATGTGACATCACCATGCCCCACCCATATGA